TGGGGACCGGGGAATTGGAAGTTCTGGAGGAGGTGGAGGGCGTGGGTAGGGAGTTCCTGGACCAACGGGGAGAAAATGGAGTCCAGATAGTTGGAGATCAGTTCGGTGGGGCAGGAGCAGGCAGAGACAATGGGTCGACCAGGGCATTCAGGTTTGTGGATTTTGGGAAGGAGATAGAAGCGGGCAGTGCAAGGTTGGGGAACGATGAGGTTGGAGGCCGTGGGTGGGAGGTCACCTGAGGTGATGAGGTTGTGGATGGTTTGGGAGATGATGGTTTGGTGCTCCCGAGTGGGGTCATGATCAAGGGGGCAGTAGGAGGAGGTGTCGGAGAGTTGGCGTCTGGCCTCGGTGATGTAGAGGTCAGTGCGCCATACTACAACTGCGCCTCCCTTGTCTGCGGGTTTTATGGTGAGGTTGGGATTGGAGCGGAGGGCTGCACGTTCTGCGGGGGAGAGGTTGGAGTGGGTGAGATGGGTGGAGAGTTTGAGGCGATTGATGTCTCGACGGCAGTTGGAGATGAAGAGATCGAGGGAGGGTAGGAGGCCTTGGGGTGGTGTCCAGGAGGAGGGGGTGTGTTGGAAGCGGGAGAAGGGGTCAGTAGAGGGAGGGTTAGGTTCACGGTTGAAGAAGTAAGCGCGGAGGTGGCGGAAAAACTGCTCTTTGTCCAAGTGTGAGCGGTATTCGTTGATCTGTGGGTGGAGGGGGACAAAGGTGAGCTGTTGTGATTGATGTGGTCCTCAAGGCTGGGCAGTTTGCTGCGAACGATGGTCTGTTTAAGATTTGGCGGTTTTGAAGGCGAGGAGTGGAAGTATGGGGAAGATCTTGGTGAGGTGCTCATCGTCATCGATAATGTATTGAAACCAGCGAAGAACATGATGTAGTTTCTCCACTCCTGGGAAGTACTGGATGACGAAGGGTACCTACCCTATCGGACGTATCCCGTGTATGTCTTCTGAGGGGGTCATTACAGTTTTTCGCTGTGGCACATTGAACTGGCAATCCATGAGCTCAGCATCGTATCCTGTTCCTTTGAGGGCGTGCTTCAACACCTTCAGCATTCCTCCTCATATGAACAGATTCGGTGTATGCGTAGGGCTTGTCCATAGCGGGTAGCTGTTTTAATATGTTTCAGGTAGAAGCTGGAGAAGTGCAGCATTGTGAGGTTATCCATGGGCTCACGGTAGAGCGAGCTACTGAGGTGTCTGTTCCTGATAGAGATGCATGTGTCCAAGAATGAGACTGATTCTGAAGAGTAATCCATGGTAGGTCTGATAGTGGGGTTTTGCTGACTTCGCTATGTAGTTGTTTCAGTGATTCCTCGCATTGTCTGACCTAAAATGTCACCTCTTCTTTACACTGATAAAACCTTTGGTTCTCTCAGGACAGTGACTTGAAAGAAATTTGGGGATTTACATATACATTTTAATCAATAAAACCTTCTAACTGATTAAAGATTTAACAGCATCTTAGCTTTGTTTAGTACATCCTCATCATTGGTAAGAGCCCTTGATCTTTTAGTTATAAATTGTGTCTGATACTACCTCTCTCACTAACAACTGAAGACGGACTAAGGCTCCTAAAGCTTGTGTTTTCAAATAAACCTGTGGGACTATAACCTGGAGTCATGTGATTTCTGACCTTGTCCACCCCAGTCCAATACCAGCACCTCCACAACATTGCCAGTAAGGCCCACATTCTGTGAACAAATAATACAAAAGCCACATCTTGTAATCAGAGCCTGAAGTAGTATCTACCATCAATCAGTACTGCAGGCAGAGTATATTGCAGACTCTACCTCAGGAAAATACGCTTGGTAACTTTATTTTGCTTGCTAACTGTAGCTGTGTATGCAAATAATGAACAGATACATTTCAACATCAGGTGTCAACCTTGGTTCAGTGTTAAAGCCAATATGTTTCCCTCAACAAACAAATTTCTAAACAAAACAGTCATTATCACTTCGTTTGTCAGAGCCTCTTGTATGCAGATTGATGATTGAGTTCTGTAAATAAAACAGAGGCTATACTTCAGATATAATTCATTGGCTGTAAAGTGCTTTGGGACATCCTGAGGTTGTGAAATACTCTCTGTAAATGCAAATTTGTTTTTCTCAACGCATTTCAGCAAGGAAAAAAGAATGTTTGCAAAGTAGCTCTTTCAAAAAGGTGTTCTAATTGCCCAGGATTGTTAGTTGCTTTATCTTCAAGCCAGCACTTATGAAGGATTGTGCAAAAACAAGATTTAATTCCTTTTCTCATTTCCTTTATAGCTGTGGCACAGTCTTTGCCCACAAATTCTGGGCAGCCTTTGCCAACGCCACCATCTGCTACTCACTGTGGTATGAGGCTGAACTCTGGGCTTTTGCAAGTGACATCTCAGAACAGCCTTGGACCTGGGGTTCCTGCAGTGACAGCCAGTCAGAGTGACCGGACTATGGGAATGTACCCGAGTAATCCCAGCAACCAACAAAACATGTACATACCATCATCTGGCATCAACATGCCTCTCCGTCCAAGTCAAAATGCTTTGGGAATGAGGTCAACCAGCCAGGCAGTGCCAAGCCAGGCTATAATTCGCCAAAGGACAGCAGTCTCGGGGTTTACTGGCTCTGTACCAAACCCTGCTGTACCTCCCCAACACATCAGACAATCCATAAACCAGGCAGGAGCCAGTATTCCTGTCCAAGGAATCTCAAATTCATTGGCCACTTCAGGCATGGCTTCTCAACTGTGGCCACAGCAAAGGATTCCAGCAATGCAAAATCAGACCAAAATGGATGGCAGCATGCAACAATTCTCAAATAGCCCATTGTTCTCCAAACAGACCATGAGGTCAAATTTGCAACCATTTCCTCATCAAACCATTGCACCACCAAACCAGATAGCACCGGGAGGACAGATGAGGCCACTACAACAACTGAACCCAGCTCAGTCTGGACAAAGCTTGGTTTCCATGAGTGGTCCGTCACCAAGGCATAATCAACCCAGGCTATCCTCAGCAGCTATGGCTGGCATGAAATCTGTACCACAAGGAATCACCAATTTGAGCCAGACCCATCCTGTGCCAGGTCTTGCTCCAACCAGCTACCCTTCCACCGGCCAGTCATCTGGATCCTTCAACCGTATGAACCCCACCACCGAGGTATCTTCCTTTGACTTTCTTCAGCACAATAACAGCAATACCTTGGGTGGAGCTCGGAGTGAATCTGACTTCATTGAGTCTATTATGAAGAGCAGTAGTAGTAATGATGACTGGATAAATGACTTAACTCTCGACGACTTTCTGGGGCAGCATTAAAGTCTGGCTGATGGGTATAATTATCTGACCTCCAGGCTGTTGTACATAGAAAGCGCCCATCTGCACATCGTGGCATTGGACTAAAGACTTTTGAGCATGTGTGTAGGTGTGGACACTGTAACTTTCCAGATACTAGCAGGTGTAAGTCACTGGATATACCTAGTGTACTGCCTGCAACACTGAGTTTTAAAGTGGCAATACATAAATTAATGTATTTGTTCAAAATATTCTGTAAATTATGTTTTCCTAATAAATATTGTACGTCAGGAAGGAGTAATTATACTTTGTTGGATCATTTGTCAATAAAATGCAGTATAGGCAAAATCATTGTTTTTATATTAGCAAAATTTGTTTATTTTTATTTGGTATAAAATATGCAGACTACATTGTTCAATCAGTAATACTATGTATTACAATTTTAAAATACAAGTTGTGTTTTTGACATGACATAGGCAGTGCAGTCTTGTGTTGTACAGGTGATTTATTCCTGATTCCATAGCTCTTCATTCACCATCAATCCCATTTTGATTTAAATATGTTACCACAGTGAACATTCAACTGATGGAATGGCTGTCAATATAAAATTGCTTTCTTTGTAATCCGTCAGCTCGTGTTGACACTTTGTACATTTTAGATGTGCATTCTACCAAGATATTATGAACTTCATAATGTGTTTGTTGCTGAAACCTTTTGTGATCTTGTGTTTTATTAGTTACATGTATTTTTTTCTCACTGCCATGAATGTGTTTCTTTTATTTTTAATTTAATACCATCTTGGAGCACAAATAGTATGACAAGTTTTTGCTTCATATCATAATAAACTTGCCTTGTGCCAAGACTGCATTATGGATGACTACCATACTTCAAGCATCAATTTTAATGGTAGCTTTCTCAATGCTATTGCCATATATTCAACATCAACCACTTCGGCAGTAGAATTTTGAAGATTCAGTCATCTGTCCAAACTCCAAGGCCGGATGCTGTCATTTAACATAGTATCCAGTTTCTTTCATGTTTCTACTGCTTAAAATTTGTGCAACTCAATTATGATTCAGGCACCAGTAGACATTAATTTCAGCTATTCCACTCCTCAATTGTAAAAATATGAGAGGAATACCGTGCCTTGCCTTTCTGAATAAAAAAAATCTGCTCAACAGATCGATGAAGAGGGCCATATTGATGATGGTAGGCAGACCCTTGCATATATGCTAAAAAATTTTAAAACTGCCTTAAAATTCAAGTAGTATTTAATTGCGAAGAGGGTTTCTGCCTCTACCATTCTTACAGGCAGTGAGTTCCAGATTCCAACTACCCTCTGTGTTGGGTGAGGGTAACTTTTTTCTCACAGCTCCCCTACACTCTCTCCCCTTTACCTTAAATCTATGCCCCCTTAGTTATTGATGCATTCATCAAGGAGAAATGCTTCCTCCTGGTGCCCCTCATAATTTTATACATTTCAATCCCTTTCAATCTCCTCTGCTGTAAGGAAACCAACCCCAGTCTGTCCAATCTCCCTCCATAACTGAAACTCCCCAGTTCAGCCAACAGCCTGGTAAATCCCCTCTGCATCCTCTCCAGTGCTATCACATCCCCCCTATAGTGTGGATTCCAGAGCATAGAACTGTACCGCACATGAATGGGCCCTTCGGCCTACGATGCTGTGGAAAACATAATGCCAAATTAAACTAATCCCTTCTGCCTCCATCACCACCCCGGCAGTGCATTCCAGACTCATAGCACTGTTATTTTAAAAAAAAAAATCT